GGTGCTGCTGCTGCTGAGGCTGCTGAGGCTGCTGCTGCTGAGGCTGCTGCTGCTGCCTCCTCCTCCTGGTTTTTGTTTTATTTCTGTTCCACTCTGTTTGGAACTTTTCACACCTCCATGTTTGTGTCAGAGCTGAAAAAGCATTGTCTAGATTTCACACAAGTAGTGACAGAGAAAAAGACACAAACAAGTCCACAAACACTTAATAAGTTCTTCTGGTTCTTAAAGTTCCACTCGATGTTGGTGTTTTTTTGTAGAAACCATTAAAGACAACAGAGACTGGAGGAAACCTTGAAGAACTCAGAACTCGCTCAGAATATTAGAACAACTTTGACGCAACATCCGGCTCCTCCTGACCCTACACCCTGGTTAGTGTCCGGCCCAGTAGGAACATGACAACAGTTCTGACCACTTGACAACAACTGGTACCGCTGTGGGTTTTCCTACAGGAAACAGTACCACAAACTATGAACAGTACCAGAGACTTGGGAACTGGTCTTGATCCGAGGACTATGTGCATCTGCTTTGCAGGAACAATTACCAGGAAATAGAAGAAACATTTAGTCCCTGCATGGAAATAGTACCAGGAACTAGAGAGACCAGAACTACTTCCAGCCAGTCACCCCAGGAACTTCAGATGTGAGGAGGAACCAAAGACTTCCTCCAGTCTGGAGGGAGGTTGGCGAGACAGAGAGAGAGGGTTCCAGTTTCACTAAAGAGTACCGTAACAGGCACCGCACCCTGAACTGTATTTATAGAACTCAGAAGTCTCTCAGAAACGTCCCAGATGACGACAAAAAAAAAAAAAAAGAAGTGATTTTTATTTCCTTTGTATTTGAGTCCCAGGGTGTGTCCAGGAACATATCTGGTGACCCCTGCTCTACGTACTGTGAAGTAGATTCAGAGGGAGGGAACTGTAATTCAGCAGCAGGTTAATCAGTGGCTCCAACCTCTCCTCCACCTCCTCCTCCTACTCCTCCTCCTTGTGCTTCAGTCAGAGAACGTGGAGGCCTCTTTTCTCTCCACACCTCTGTCTGTCTCTGTCTTTGCTCTTGAACTTCAAACGCTCAGGTTTTTCCTTTTCTACCATACAATATTTATCTGCTGTGTTTCAGCGAACATGAAACATTGATGACAGTTTTTCCGTTCACACCTTAATTTCATCTGATTCTTCCTTTTGTTTTGTTTAGACTCTGCTTGGGTGTCACGCTGAATTCTGTCCCCGCGTGATTCATTTTATTGTCGAACAAATATTTCACTTTGAAGGTTGGCAGCAGCTCCACTGATGCAGGCGTGGAACCGTGTCACATGACAAACCTTTCCTGATGAGGCGCTCTCTCTCTCTCTGTCTGTCTCTCTATCTTTCGTACATCACTGAGAGGGTTTGACTACAGCCGTGTACACACACACACACACACACACACACTCACTGCAGAATAATATTAACAGGAGTGTTTTCATTATTGACTCGTCAAACAGTTTAATTGATTGTCGGAGAGAACAGGGAATCCTAATCTCCAATCCTAAAGAATATTAATGACATCTGATCAGAATCACAAATCCTCTCACCAGGTTTTCAAGAGACAAGAACAGGATTGGATGGAAAAGATAAGAGATAAGTATTATTTTGTTTTTAATAATATCAAAGTGATATAATGTTTAATATTATTAAAAATGCCTAAATACAGTAGAAGAAGGTCTACACAGAGTGGATCTGAAGTGAGCAGGAACAACCTAAACCTGATAGCAAAGAAATGAAGCTGAGCTCAGGTTTGACACAGTTAAAGGTTAGGGTTTCATAACTTATCATTACTCCAAATAAAAAATAAAAATAATTAGACAAAATTCAACTCATCATGAACAAAGATTGTTGTATTTGGGTTAAATGTAACAAAAGAACAGGTTTCTCTTACGACAGGCCTTGAATATTCTTACAAACCTGAACCCAGAAAAAAATAATCTCTAGTTTTTTAACATCTGCTTCAGTTCACAACACAGCAGAGAATTATGGGAGTTTAGGAAAAATAAAACCATGAAGGTTCCTTTCATCGGATCCTGAGGTAGTCCCTCGGTCTCCTCTCTGGCCCCGGGGCAGGCTATCATCTCCAGTGACACCAGAGGGAGGACCAAACCCCTGTTCACCTCACCCCATCTCACCCGTCCTCACCCCTGCCCTGCTCGATGTAAAGGCAGCAGAAGTGGAGATGAGGAGTGGGAGGAGGAGACACTCCAGCCAACCCTGGTCTCTGAGGTCCAGGAGCCGCTTTGATCATCGGACGCCGACCTCCATGTCTCAGAACAAGGAGCCGGGGCCTGGGGAAGGAGGAGGGTGAGGGTTTGATGCTGCTGTTGCTGAGCTTTCACATCTCCCCTCGCCGCTCCCTTCGTCCCTGCTGCACTTGTACCGACCAAATATGAAAAAAAGGGTTAATTGTATTTAACAATATGCTGCCTAACACACACACACACGCGCACACACACCCACACACACACTGCTCTCCCTGATTAGTTTTAGATCCACATCTGCCGTCATGTTCTGTCCCTCATTACTGCTGAATCTCATTACCACTGTTTCCCACGAGACCCAGTGAAGACGGGCTTTTTTTTTTTTAACCACACTTTTTCTTCCTGCCTCGTCTTCATCTCATCTTCTTCTCTTCTTCTTGGTTTTTACATTAGCGGAAGTCCTCATCTGAGGGAATGACTGAGCACCTCCTCCTCCTACTCCTTTTTTCCTCCTCCTCCTCCTCCCAGATCAGGGAAATTGTTCTACACTGCCAATTAAAGGAGGTATGTTGACTTTTTCCCTCCTCTCTTCTACTGTATGTTTTATTCAGAGTGTGTTATTTGTTGCACTCAAAAAAGAGAAAAAAAGAAAAAAAAAAGGAATTGTCTGAAAAAGAAAATAGGCCTCACAAAATAAAAGTTCCGTTTCCTGGTAATAAAGACGACACCAAAGGTTTGGAGAGAGAGTCGACGGGGGGAAAATGAGGGACTTATTTACAGCAGGCTGAAGTTCTACTGAATAATAAAACACACACACACACACACACTTTAAACTTAACAGCTTCTGCAAACACTGCCTTGCCTCAGACTGTGAATTAATTTTAGAGCCAGAAGAAATAAAACAAGAGCGTTTCTAAAAATCTCACTCCAAACTGAAAATATTAAATCTTAACTTTTTTTTTTAACAGCATCAGGAAATTAAAAACTGAAAACTAACCCTCAAACTCAACATCCTCTGGTAAAAAGAAATGAACTTGAATAAAAAGATGTAAAATCTCCAGCTAGGTGTCTCACCTCACACATGTCCATGTCCTGTTCTGTTCCTCATCAGACAGACGACAGTGTAGAGGACAGACAGACTGTGAGCTAAAATGTAAATAAAACCTGGTTTAGTTTGAAGGTAAAGAGCTAAACATGAGAAGATCCATACATGACGTTAACAACTCAAAGACCTGAACGAGATCTTAAGGTTCTCCAGGTTCTTCCAGGTTCATTGCTCTAATTGTTTTCACTCTAAACTGACCGCAGGTGTGAATGTGAGTGTGAATGTACTGTATTGAATGTATTAAGATCAGCAGGTCAACAAAAGGCTTGTTGCTAATTTAAATAACAGGTCAAATTTAACTCTACAATGTCAAACATTTAGCTCAGACCTAGCTGGCTGAAATGTAACGTATAGTTAAAGGTGAGCTGAGAGTTATCTAAAAGCTAATGTTGCTACAATTTATTTAATCCAAATTACTCCAGAGAAGAGCAACATGTAACTGCAGCAGCAGCTGAAACTTTTTATTTTCTGGTCTTAACATTAGAAGAAAAAAAAACAGACTCTGAACTCGCTGTCAAATAGTTTTATTTACACTTTGAAAGACGTCCAAAAAAAATGGTACAAAAATAAATAATCAGTGCTGTGTTGTCACAGTGATGAAGTCCTGGAGGTGGAGGTGATTCTCCATCAGAGCATCGGTGAGTCACAGAAGCAACACGGTGCCTGGAGAATCTTCTTTATCCAGTCTGGATCTGAGCAGGAGGAAAAAGTATCAGGTTAGCCTTAGAAATTTATACAATTTAGCCTGAAGGAAAAACGGGGAGAAAAAGCCAAGAGGCGACCAATTAGACAGTTAAATGTTGCAGCAGAATTTGATAAATGTCAGACTGTTGCTCTGAAATTCCCCTGAAACATGAGACACCTGCGCAGAGTGTGAGCTGCTGTGAAGGTGTGTGTGTGTGTGTGTGTGTCCGTCTCAGAATGACAGAGAAGTCGTTTCATTGAGGCTGGTTGTTATTTAAAATCTTCTGCAGCTTCTGTGAGACGTCAGGAAAACAAACTGGGACGCTCTCTCAGGAGTGTGACACAGAGCTGAAGCTGTGTCACAGGTAAATGTTCAGCACTGTGTGTGTTCACTCGGAGTGTAGGGTTCAGACAGCAGCAGCAGCAGCAGCAGCAGCAGCAGCAGCAGGTCTGTGACAGCTTCGATGTCAGTCTGGGGCCCAGCAGGCGTGGAGTGACCGGCTGAGCCCAGCCTGGGTGAACGCACGACAGCAGAAATAAAAAGCGGTGACAGACGCAGGACCAGAGTTGAGAGGACGAACAGACTGACACACATCTGATCCTGGGTCAGATCTGTCACAGGTCAACATTTATTTTCCTAACAAACATCGTTTATCACCAACATTAGTTGAACCAAAATGTTGGATGACAGGTCAAAGGTCAACCCGAACAGAACTCCATGCTCAATCACTTTTGATTTGAAAAATCTAAACCTGCCATAAAACAACTAAAAAGGACGGAGACAGAGGTTTGTCCAGAAGTCAAACAAGGACAGATTCAGGTTTAGATTCTTCAAGGTGTCCGATGGTAAAGGTTCAGTACTAGTCCATGTGAGACGGAGAGCACATATTGGACAGCCACTTTAAAAAAACCCAATCATCTAAATCATCCTTCATCTTTTACACTCCTTAAATTTCTGTCTTGTCCTGAAATCAGGTGAAAATGGGAGGTTTAAAACCAAAGCTGACGGAGTGTGTGTGTGTGTGTGTGTGTGTGTCTGTGCGGTACCCTCAGGATCTGGCAGCCTGGAGATGCTGTCCAGCAGGAGGCAGCGTCTGAATGTCAGCGCCTGGCAGGCCTGGTACGTCAAAACACACCTGCAGGAGGAAGAGAGTGAAAAACCTCATCAGAGAGAGAGAGAGAGAGAGAGGGAGGAAATGGATGGCAGGTTTGTGCACACAAAAAAAGAAAAGTGGGGCAGTGAGGTGAAAGTGAGGGACTTTTTTTTCCTGACTCCTTGGAGGAGCAGCAGCAGCAGAATCATCAGACCACCTGGAGAGTAAATATCAGGAGGTGAAGGTTTCATTACTGCTCCGTCACAACAAACAAACCATCACTGAATAAACTCAACACCAGACGAGGCTTCAAACTGTGGACGCCGTTTTCTCCTTCCAAAAGTGTCCCATGGATGAGGGGGATCAGAGCAGCACTGGCAGATCACTGGTCAACTGTAGCCTCCCAGAGTACATCTAACACACGGACTTCCTACTTAACAGTGGACGATCCAATCATCCATGCAGCCAAGGTGAATCACAGTCAACAAAACAACAACAGTTTTTACCTGAGCCACATGTGACCTCTGGGACAGACGGTCTGTTTGTGGTCAGTGAAGGGGAGAACGTCCTGACACAGGCTGCAGTGTTCCTGGAAGACCTGCTTGTTCATCTTCTTCCTGACGTGACCAATCAGGACCTGAGGAAGAGCGATGGGCGCAGACACAGAGAGGTTAAAGTACCAGCGATACTTTAGACAAAAAGATATAGTGAGGTTTTTAATTGTCAGGAAACTGTCATCATAGTAAACACATGCTGCTACAGGCTTAACATCAGGTGACTGAAACTGGAACAGAGGGGTCTACATTTGGAATTGAAAGCATTTGTAGGATTTAGGACTTAACTGTACAATCAACTAGTGGTTGGAGGTTTAAATGCAATACAAAAATGGACCAAGGCCATGAATATGTGCATGTTAATTTAAAGAAAATCGATACAGTGCTGTAGAATATTGATACCGTATTGTGAAATGAATTATCGCGATATTTCAGCGTATCGATATTTTCTTTTGTGTCTAACAGAGATGGTCTGTTTTGAGACTAAAATAATGAACGGTGACTAGAAATGATCTGCCAACATTAAGTCTTAGTGATGTATTCAGGTGAGTCACGGCTCCTTACCTCTGCATCTCTGTCACAGTTGTCTGTGGTCAGATAGTCCATCAGCCCACAGGTGGGCACGCTGATCTGAGGAGTGATCCAGGTGTTGAGGTAGACCACACCCAGGACCTTTTTCATGTTTTCTCTCACCAGGTGATTCTGAATCTTCTCCATGGATTTCTGAATCTGCTCTGTCTGTGTCTCTGACATCTGCACCACCTTGTTACCATCATTCTGTTGCTGGACTTCTGACTGGCTGTTCTCCTGCCTGGTTTTGTCACCATCGTCTTCCTCCTCGTCCACCACGTCCATCACGTCCCCCTTCAGATTCCCCTCCAAATTGGGTTTCCAGCGATGGTTCGTCAGCGGCGCCTGAAAGGACGTGTGGAGCACACGAACCAGAAACAGCTTGAAGCGCCACAGATAGAGGGAGTCACTTTCCTGCATCAAGCGATCTAGCGCCACCTCCAGCGATGAGGGAATCTGTTTGTTCTTAATCACCAGACACCTGACGATGTCCAGCAGGTCGCTCAATCTGTACAAGTTCTGTGTGGGCGACCTGAGCAGCAGCGCCGCAGCTCTCTCTGGTGTTTTCAGGGCCACAAAGTGTACCCGGTAGGTTCTGGCAACAGGTGGGAGATTGTCGCTCATACCTTGGGTGCTGACGATGGCCATGTACGCTGCGTTGGTGCTGATCGCCATGCCGTGTAGCCTTCGGCCTGTTAGGTTCTCAATCTGGTCCAAGTCCTCTTGTTTGAAAAGCAGTGACTTCTCAGTGAAGCTTAGCGTCAGCTTTTTGATCCATCCGTCTAGGGAGCATGTGTAAACTGCCAATCCGTTTTGACTGACGGCTAACGAGATGATGGGGAGCGAGTGAAGGCCTGTCACATGAGAGTTGTGCACGTTGAGTCCAGCAGGTGAAATGACCAGCAAACACCAGAAGACGTAACAGCCCCGTGAGGCGATGATGAGGCTGCAGCTGGATTTAAGGATGGGATGGAAAATTGGGATGCATTTGATGTTTTCCACAGTGATCTCATCGCATTCTTGCCAGAGGATGACGGGGTGTCGCAGGGTGAAGTAACCTTTGACCCCTGTCAGGGTAACTGGCAGGATTTTGATTGGTCCGCTATGGCTGCCGACGATGAGACCGCTCATCTGGCGTTCTGCACTTTTGTGCTCCCACCACGCCAAGTCACTTGGACTAGTCACACCTGACTCGATCATGTCATAAAACACAACATCATCTCCATTTACGAACGGCAACTCTAACTTCCACAAAACCAAGTGGCCGTTTTCCATCAGGACAGCCAGGAGGACCATCTCCACGTCTTTACACGTGTTGTCAGGCAGCACTTGTTTGACGGTGTAAACACTGGACCATTCCATCCTCAGAGGCGTCAGCATGCTCCGACGTCGTTGCAGCTCTGTAAAGTCCAGCAGGTCTGCTGACGGCTCGGTGCTGTCTGTGCTGGTGTAGTTCTGGACCTTCACCCTCTCGCTGTACTCATCGGAGAGGTCGATGAGCGTACTCCACTCCAGACACTTGAGGCTGTTGTGAATAGTTAGTCTGTGGTCAAGTGTTAAACAAGCGAGCAAACAGCGCCCGTTGTTGTCGCAACCTAACGGAGACCAGCTGGCGTATTTTATTCCCTTGTAGGCTGGAATTGATGGGTTCATTATTTTGTCAGCCAGAAAAAGCTGCCGAACGGTCGGATCTGGGTGAGTAGAACACTCCTCAGTCACTTTGGCTTCTTCTGCTGCGGTTCCCATCTGAAAAGATACAACACTTACTAGGTTAAAGTTGACCTTAACAAATGATGACAGGTCATTTGTAGCTATTGTGGTGTGTTCACAGTATCAATCCTGTCGGTTTCAATCCTAAACCAGTCTCAGTGTCTTCGTTCTGAAACCTGATTCATTCTCCCCAGAACTGTTTGTTTATCAGGAGGGCAAAATCAAGAACAAGTTGGTTCTAGTCAGGACCTTTCAGCCTTTATGAAAACTCAAGCACCAAACTCCTGGGAAGTCTGATGGACAAAGATTCAATGATGATCATATAGAGATACGAGATAAAAAAAACTCAATACAACAAGAGTTAACCATGCTTCAAATTCTTATCAGTCTTATTTCTACACCAGTAAATACTACCTAAGAGACCATTCCCAAATCTTCAGTGTAACACCAATCATCTCCAGTCCGACCAGTACCTGGACAGTTCTTCACGTTCTTAGATCTGTTCTTAGATCTTAGGACTGGTTGGTTTTCCTTGGTTAACTAAGCACTTCAACAGTATGCAGTATAAAATACCCTCCTTTTTCAAACTCATGTAAACACTGTCGTTACCTCCTCTCAGTCCACTGAGCCTCAGACTGACAAGCGCACCATCATCTTTATAAACAAGGACAGGATTCCGACTTTAGCCTTCTGCCACTGTGTCGTGTGGATTATTAAACTCTGCCACGTCCAACATGTTCATCTGCCAAGTGGATTTTTGGAAGGGAAGTAGATAAACACTGATGATAACGACAGAAGGGAGCAGCTGTGCTGGAACCGATTCACCAGAACAAAACTGTTTCTCTGTTTCTCTTTGTATCAAATGCCTTTTAATCGTCTTTCTCTGCGTTTGGTAAATAATGAAAATACAGGAGCGTTGGCTGCTGCCAACCTAAGAGCAGACGAGTAGAAACCGCCACTGGCTCGGATCCTTAGCTGTGTTTATAGGAGTGATGTCACTACGACACCAAAACCAACACACTCACAGATGTCACTCTGGAACCACCTGTGTGTTTTCACAAACTCTTCTAATTTATTCATTGATCATGTGACTGAAATTCATGACCACGTCTGTCGCAGACACATTCATAAATGATTTAAGAGGAAATATCCAGGGTTGTCGGTTTTTTTATTCCTGGCAGAGTTTTTATTTTGTCTTTATATTTTACTCTGCCGTTAACCAGTACCAGGCACCAGTAAGTCCAGTTATTTCTAATTTCGACAAAAAAAGTTTGGATTGCAATGACCTAATTCTAATTTACATCATTTGATGAAATGCTTAACATTTACAGTGATTTAACATAAAATCCCATTCGTGGAAACAGAAATCTACAGGCCACAGGCATCGACTCTGACTCAAATGTCAAATGTCAAACCATTTATTTCCAGTTTCTCCTCACGTCATGCCGTATCGTGTTTGCAGCTACAGACTAAATTAACTTTTCTTCATTCTCCACAGACAAATCTTTTTATTGCACATGCAAATAATTGAAAATTTAAAGGTGACAAAAGGTTTTTTTTGTCCTATTAGAGTGAAATGCCATTTGAATCAGAAGTGCATTAGATTAAATTTCACATGAAGCTTGCAATAAGCAGTTATCAATGTGTGTAATACAGAAGTAACTTTAAAGCATATTTTAATGTCAATCAACACATCTTATTCCAGAAACCAATCAAATTGATTCAAAAGTTAAGGTTAAAAAAATGTTGTTGTTTGAAAAGATGGAATACTAATTAACAGATAATTCCACCATTATACCAGAACAGTGTGGCACACATTTTAAATACCAGGTTGCATTGCAATTTACTGGCCTAATGTAAAACCTGGGCCTGTTCAGTTGAACACCACACTGATTTATCCACAGGAATTAAAAGAAGACACACACAAAAATCTTCTTCAACGGCCTCTCTCTTTCTTTATATATTTTATAACAGACATAGATGTCAGGAGTCACTGGCATAGAACGAGAAAATGACTGAACCAGCAGCAACAACTGCAGAAGGTGATGAGGCCATGCTCAGAGCACCTCAGTGGTAACTTGGCAACTGGGGGACTCAAACCTGAAGCCTTACGGACCCAAGTCGGCTTCCTTTACTTTACTACTAAGCCACCACTGCCCATTTGAATGCATTATGTGTGCATTTGGTAAATCTTCTGAGAACTACACGGCACAAAATGAAACAGAGCAGTACCACTGGAATTCATGGGGACGCTGTAGTGCAATAATGGCTTAGTGGGTCTATAATAGGAACAATAAGTCTCTCATGAATCCCTCCTAACATTCTTAAAGGCAAGTCAAAGAGTTTTATATTCCATGACGTTGTGCTTTAACAGTGCTGTATGGTAATTAATCTTATAATGACAGTTGTAAACAATGTTGTCATCAGCACGTTATCAGTATTGTTGCAGCTGTATAATTGATTCCTTTACTGTTCAATTCTATTTAACATTGTGTTACCGTGGGTTTTTTTAATCGGGACTGAGATTCCGCGATAATCCTGAATTAAGTTTACGGGATGTGGTCATAACTTTATGCCTGGTTCCACTGTTTACTTCCGGCGATAGCATGTGGCTAGGCTAACCTGAGTTCATCATGAAAAAAATTAAAGCCCACGAGGACAAAAATGTATTTTTCATATTTAATATTTTACCCTGAGTCTGTAGGGCTGCGCGGGCACCGAGACGGAGCTCCGGTGTAACGTCAACTCCGGCTTCTTGTTTTTAACATCACACAGCAGCTCCATTACAGCCAGAGAACCGCAGGTGTTGACGGAGAGCCGGTGGTCCTCAGACCAGCGGAGAGGCTGAGCTCCGCTAACTGGCGTCAGCAGCGTCACGGTGGGTTCCCGCTTCAGTGGCGCTCCCTCGAAACCAAAGGCGAGCTCCAAACCGTGCTCTCCTCCAATCTGAGGTTCACTTTTTGTCAGAGCAGCAGCAGGAGGACTGCTACTGGCCGCTGCCATGTTTACACCGTGCGGCGGAAGTGGCGTCGTAAAAGAGAGTTGAACAACAGTGGACTTCCTCTGTCGTCAACAATCATTCTTTACCTTTTACGTACCTCAATATCGGCTATTTCCCTTAATACAATGAGTATTAAGCCTTTATAATATTTTTCACATTTTTTAATCTTATTTTCTTTAAATTACCATTTTTTCGTTGTTTGGTCATTATCTTTGTACAGTACGTTGAAATGCATTTCGACATTACCCCAGAGATATTACTCTCATTTATTCTACATTTTAAAATGTGGAAACTATATTATTTTTATTGTTTATTGTTTATTTTCCATATTTCCATGCACAGTCTTCAGGCTTCCACTTCCTTCGAAACAAAATACAGAATCTGTCTTAGGATGCAAGCCTCTGTGTGAATAGAATGTAATTACATTAGAATGGATTGAACTGATTTTTTGCGTGGGGAAACGTTTTTTTAACTAGTGTGACAGAATAATTCATGTCTTTAAAAATCTTTAAACTACACTCATATCTCATCATACTAAATTCACTCCTTTGATTTGAGTCAGACTTGTTTTGGTGACATTTTGAATTTAAAAAATGCAATTTTTAAAATCAGCAATCGATCAAACGGCGTTGATGGAACATCAAACATTTCTAGAACCCCTGTTTAAAAAACCAGTCCAGATAGTGAGAGTCCATTTGTCATTCCTGTCCTGCTGCTGTTGTTCCTTCACCATCATTTATCCTTTCATTAACTAAACAGAAAAATGAAAAGTGGCTTGATCACAGCTCAGATATTTATCAGGGTGTTAAATGTCAGCACACACTCCTGGAGGAGTCAAAGCTCAAACTACTGCAGAGCAGACAGTGATTAAAGCAGCTGTAGCAATAAAAGCTGAGGGGATGATGATGATGATGATGATGATGATGATGACGACGGTGGGATTTCAACACACAGAGACGTTTGTCACAAAACAAATTGCTACAAATCTGTGTGACAATCACAGAATCTCAGCACTGCCATGTTTTTTAATCTTTTCCTCTTCCCTTCCCCGTCTTTTGTTTCCATAATCGAAATGAATAAATGAAACAGAGACGACAAAGACGAGGGTGTGTTTCATTCTTAATGAAGCGTGTCGGAGATGAATATTTCACACACCTGCTCTGTGTGTGTGTGTGTGTGTGTGTAGTCACAGTGGATCCTCAGGCAGCGGGATGCATGAATGTTGGATTAAACATTTATCAGTGCTGTCACTGAAAACTTCCTTCTCTCCTGTCAGAGGTGGAAATGGAATGAAGGATAGAAGTGGAGGAGCGTTCAGGAGCAGAGAGGTCCAGACCTCAGCCTCTGCTGGACTCACACAGAGCAGCAGTGGAATTATTAAGGCCTGTCTGTAGGTGTGCACTCTGTATATACCGAGATGGAGTGAGGGGTTTATGGATATGTACGAGGTCAGCTCAGGTCAACCTCCTGTATCTCTAACATCCAGCTTCTTTGTCCTGTTGTTGCCTGCAGCTTCTCTGTCTCTCTGCAGACCACGTCCACACATCTGAGCTGTTTGTTCAGCACCACAGTCAGGAGAGGCAACTTTTACATGCTGTCATATCCAGTGAGGAGTTTCTCATTGAATTTACAGTGGAATTGAATTACATTCTTACAGGGAGAGTAACGATCTGAAGGAACTCCCCGTAGTTCCTGGTGAGCCCTTAGTTGTTTAGGGAGTAAGGCCCAGTTTCAGGCGGAGTCTGTAGTTTCTTGGACTAGATTTGAGGTGTGAATCCACATAGTTCCTGGTCTACTGTCTGTTCTTTCGGCTTTTACTACCTGTGCTGAAAACGTGCTTGTGAGTATATTTTCTGCACTTCACTTCATGATTTGACATAAGCATACTTTTCTGCAGCTACTTGTTATTATCACAGATCCAGTTTTCTGATTTGACTTACTTCGTCTTGTGAAATGCCCCTCCCGCCCCCTGACTCCAGCTGCTGTGTGTGTTTCTCTCCCGCAGCTCAGTGGCCTCTCAGCAGACCACGTCTGCACAACGGAGCTGTTTGTTCACTACAGTAGTCAGAGGAGGCGTTTTATTTTCCGCACGCCGTTGTATTCAGACTTAGGGAGTGAGAGGGAGGTTGGCCCACCGGGACGTTTGATGCATGGTTCATTGTACACATTTTAATCATTCAGTCTCTCAGACGGCTCCCAGGGGGCGGCCGCTGCTGCAGCACATTACCGAATACACACAATTAGTGATATAATCATAATGATGATAATGAAATGTATTTAGAGCATATCAGTGTGGTGCTTTCTGTTGAACAGGGGGGCGAGGGGCGTCAGCAAGATCGTTGAAAAGCCTTGCTCACGCTTATTTGCGGTAATTTCTCCTTTCCGACACCCCCAGGCGGCTGGAGGAGGCCAGCAGGGGGCCACATCACAGATTAGCAAACCTGACGGTCGACCTGGAGCTCCTTCTGCATCGTCAGTTTTGAAAGCTTCACCCGGCACGTTCTTGAGGTGGGATGAGACGAGGAGGCTCATGTTTCCTCTCAACAGACCCTGAGCCACCAGTTTGTTCTCCACCAGGAAAACAATCAGTGACACGATATTGACATCACATGAGTGACATCAGGATCAGGAGGAGCCTCATGTTGAGTCACCTCAGGGATGCTCATTCACCTGTTAAAGGTCAAAACAGGACACAACGTCAGGATGAGAGAGGGTTTTCTGGATGCAGGAATAACAGGAGTGGGTGTGAATATTTTAAAGGGATAGTTCAGTGTGTTGGGCTTCATCCATTATCAACACTGACCTCGTGATAGCCCTGAAGACAAAGACTTTCACTGTCAACATGGCTCTGCCAGCCGGGATTGAAGGAAGTTGATGATGAACCGACAATGAACGCTCATTCTGACCTCTGTAAGGCAGGCAGGAATTCTACCACTACCCCCACTACAGTGAAATACCTGGAGTTAGAACCATTGGCCTTCCACCCTTCCACTCTGTGGACACTTGTTTATGCTTTACTTCTACGTTTAGATTAATGCCTGTGACACAAACTGACCAGTAGTGAACTAAACTGATTGTTTAATCATTAATAATAAAAAAATACAAATCTTCTCCTCCTTGTTCTGTTTCGTCTCATTGTAAACTGCTGTTTTGCTGCTCCAGTCCTGTAGATGGCAGTCATTTATCTATAGAACACAACAGCTGCCAGAAATGATGTTTGGGGGAAATGGCTGAGGATTCAGTGGCAGGTGTTTCACCTGGACAGTCACAGAGGACAGACCTTTGGACTAACTGTCAACATTGTTACGTTTTTGACAAACAAGCAGTTTAACAAGCCTGGAACTCAAGGTGGAGAAATGATGTCACCAGGAACAAGAAGTTGAAATCACATTTGCAGTCTCAGGACAGACCTCTGCTGAACAGGATTAAAAAGCTAAGTGTGCTAACTTTGCTAATATGTGTGTGTTTGTTGGGGAGAATGTCTATTTGTTTTCTTGGCTGCTGTTGTACATCCTGAGGCTATAAAACTGCTGACTATACTGTTGTTGGATTTTGGTTTGGTGGTTGTTGTTTGATTGTTGCTTTTCTATATAATATGTCGGTTGTTAGCTCGCTTAATGTTTGTCTTGCTGTAAACATCCTTGAAATGAGTGATTTAGACTTGGACAAGCTTTAACTTTAAGATGGAACATTTTAGTTTACCATCCAGGAAATTAAAAACTCAAGTCATCTTGATTCTTTGCAAAAGAAAAATACATTTTAACGAACTAATTGAACTGTTAAAAATGTAGGTCTTTGTGCCAGTGTGTCCTTGGGAAAGACACTTGACCCAAACACACAGTCATTGTTTTAAAAAGTTCTGGTTCCTGAACCAAAATTCTGGTTACATTGGATGGTTGACCTTTGGGTCTACTTTTACTAAGGTGGACATATTTATTTCACTTGAAGCAACAAAGTCCCAAACAGATCTAAAACATCAACTATTGGCTGTTCTTTTATATGGTTTTTGTTATTATCAGACTCTGGTTCTGGAGATGAACCTGGAAGAGATCGGTGCTGGTGGCTGTGGTGAATGGTTGTATTGAAACCTTTGTTGATGACGTCCTGCTGGTGCTGTGTGACATTTTATTCTGATTTAATGCAGACTTTACATTGACATTGAGTTGAGAAGAAAGTTTTTTAAAGTACATTTCCCTGCTTCCTCCTCGCTCTCTTCTCCTCAGAGCCGATCACCTGTCATCACTCTACATAATCACATTTGACCGCCGGACTCTTCATTTGTGCTCTTCATTTGAGTGTAACTTTCCAGGAGAAGTGCAGAATCAAGGGACTATTTGTGTAATTTAGAAAATGTGCTGCCACTCAGCTGGACAGCATGTTTACCCCAGGCCAGGCCCTAAAGTGGAGGCTTATTAAGGCAAACACGGAGGACACTGATTGGGTGGAAGTGCAGAGGGAGCAGCAGCCTCTCTATTTATTCCCAGCGATAATGGCTGAATTATTCATCCCGTGTGATGATTAATTAAAAAAGGCCCCGGGTCCTGTGGCAGGTACAGGCTGCCGAGGCTCACGCTGACGCTCCCATGTGTCTGCGGCAGACACATGGCTCCTGCTTCGCTCTGCACGTCTGCAGAGAGGCTGCCCTCACACACACACACACACACACACACACACAGAGCACACGATATACATGCCTCTGCACCCGACGCTAGCCTAATGCACAAATGTTCTACATGAGGTGAAAGACTGGGTCGTGGTCATGGAACATTAAAGCAGATAAAGGTCAGGTCATGTCTCTTCTTCAAGCGGTTTGGTTCTGATTGATGTTTAAATGACGGCATAGGATATTAGAGTGGACTGTGGTGAGGTCACTGTGGCCAACAGTGGATTTACAGGAGTTCAACTTTTGATAAAATCCTCAGACTGTGGCCAGTTTCACTCTGGAGCAGGTGGACGAGGCAAATTTGATTATCTTGGTACAGACCCCAGAGCTAACATTAGCTACAACAGTCCTGGTCCAGACACCAGAGCTAACATTAGCTACAACAGTCCTGGGACAGACACCAGAGCTAACATTAGCTACAACAGTCCTGGGACAGACACCAGAGCTAACATTAGCTACAGCAGTCCTGGTACAGACACCAGAGCTAACGTTAGCTACAGTAGTCCTGGTACAGACACCAGAGCTAACATCAGCTACAACAGTCCTGGTACAGACACCAGCGCTAATGTTAGCTACAGCAGTCCTGGTACAGACACCAGGGCTAACGTTAGCTACAACAGTCCTGGGACAGACACCAGAGCTAACATTAGCTACAACAGTCCTGGGACAGACACCAGAGCTAACATTAGCTACAGCAGTCCTGGTACAGACACCAGGGCTAACGTTAGCTACAACAGTCCTGGTCCAGACACCAGAGCTAACATTAGCTACAACAGTCCTGGGACAGACACCAGAGCTAACATTAGCTACAACAGTCCTGGGACAGACACCAGAGCTAACATTAGCTACAACAGTCCTGGGACAGACACCAGAGCTAACATTAGCTACAGCAGTCCTGGTACAGACACCAGAGCTAACGTTAGCTACAACAGTTCTGAGAAGAACAGTGTATCCATCTTACAACATCAAATGTTGGACATAACAGCTGTAATTGTACTGTGAGTTTTTAGTATTCTGTGATTGCAGTAGGCTAATTAAAAATACACAGAGAAAAATCTTTGTTCTATAGCTTCACCTATGTCTGTTAATTGATTCAATCAAAAAAGATTTGAATTGAAAATGTTGTTTTTGTGACAAATTTCAATACCTCACAAAGATGAGATTAACCTGAATTTATCCTAAAAAAATAATAATTCACTTGACTGATTATAAGACCTTCACTTTGTAACTTTTTGGTTCAACATGACAACACTCCATGACAGAGTTTCTTTATGTCTGCAGTGTTTTTATTAACATCAACGTTGATTAGTGGCAGTGGATAACTGACTACGCTGTTGATTGTTAGCATTAGCAAATATTTTTCTGATTCCTTTTAAAAAATGTTTTAATAACAGAAAAGTCCAGAATGACAAACGTTCGTAGTTTTCTTTTCCGAACTCTTCATCCATAGACCATGTCTAAGCTGGCGTCCTCTCTGATCTGAGCGGGTTCCCTCTGTAACCAGCGGCTGCTCGCTGCCACACTCAGCTGGGCAGTGGAGCGGCCAACAGGCAGCTGCTGCTCCTCCTCTGACCCAGTGTGGGCAGCTGGCAGTGGGCAGGAGTCAGGACATGCCCTGTGGCAGTGCCAGAGGAAAGGCCAGGAGGCCCGAGGTGGGGGGGTCCCGACCTGCTTGGGCCCCACTAATGGAGCCGGGGTCGATGCCGCCCATATGGCGCTCATGTGAATGCGCTCTGGCAGGTGGAGTCACCACCAGGCAGCGTCCCGTTAGATATTAAACAGGACAAGGCCGTACCTTCAGCATCAGCCCCCACACAGGGCAGTGATGTGGACGAGCTGGGGAGGGGACAGAGGGACACCTGTACCACGGCCTCCATCTGTGGCACACTGACTCTGTTTCAGTCACTGAGTAGTAATGGAAACAACTCCAGGTTAAAGGTCACCTGGGTGAACTAACTTACCAGGCAGTGTTTAGATAAAACGTCTAAAGAAGTCTGTTGATGACATCATCATTATCTTTTTTTAAACTTCTCTGCTTATATTTACGTCAAAAAGGACAATTTTGACAACGATTTTTCTGATTCTAATTGAAGAATCCCTGTCCTGTCTCCTGGTCTGAGTTTATCCATGTTTCCTCCTCTTCCTCCTCCTCAGATTTGGACTTTTACCAGAATGAAACCTCAACTACAGTACATGAAGACTAAATATTTATAAACTACCATTTTTTTCTAAAGGAATCTTTTTATTATTATTGTTGTTGTTGTTGATATAATAGAATAATCTAGAATATGATCTAGATTTAAAAAGTCACTGACAAGTGTAGGACTTCTTGGCTTTTGTCGCCCATTTCTGCCTCCTCTTCCTCCTCCTCCTCCTCCTCATCATCTCTGCTCCTTCATCCCAGCAGATGCTGCTGCTGGTCTGGATGTTGTGTGGTGAAGGCAGCGTTGTGTGAACTCAGGCTGATGTTTCTGGCTGCAGATTCATTAAGTTAAAGAATGGAGTCAAAGTATCAGCACTCAGCACAAATGTACGGCTGACGTGCTGTGATTGGCTGCAGTTCTCCTGGAGGAGACGGAGTTAGGGTTTCTGAACAAACTCACCTCCTGAGCAGACGTCCTGGAGAAAGTCCTCCAGCTCTGAGAGGTCAAGAACAGACATGGTGCTGCTGGGGTGGG